CCAAAACATAAATTGGTAGAAATATTAGTTAAATTTTTAAATATTAGTAAAATGTCCAACTAACAAAAATAAAAAGAAACTCTAATGGGTTAGCACCGTTGCCTCACAACAAGAAGGTTGCTGGTTCAAGCCCCGGCTGGGCCAGTTGGCATTTCTGTGTGGAGTTTGCATGCTTTTCCCGTGTTTGCATGGTTTTCCTCCGGGTGCTCCGTTTTCCCCCCAGTTCAAAGACATGCGCTATACGTAGCTATTTAGTTTCAAAGTATACCGTGGTTTGAAAAAGTCAAGGTTTTAAAAATATAACAAAGTATAACAAAGTTTTCTGTTATACCGTTCCTAAGGTATCTGTTAGGGCTGTGCAATTAATCGAAAATCCGATTTCGATTTTGGCTTCAAACGATTATGAAAAAGCATTAATCGAGATAAAGGATTATTGCATCATATACCCCCCAAACCAGCTGTACACATTTGTTGCTCTTAAAAACGCGAAAGACTGCATGCTTATGTGTTTGTGCGGCACGCACACAGTCAGAAGCATGCGGCCGGTCAGCATTCGGTCTCATTCGCACACTGAGACGAGCAGAGGACCGCAGACATCTAAAGTCATCTTAACGTGAGCGCTTTAATGGTCAAATAGGTGTCAAAATGCGGTGTTTAGTGATTATTCATAGTAACCCTCATTTGTGTAATTAACAAACGAGTTGAGAATCAAAAGACACCTGAAAGAGAAACCATTAAAGTGACCACGCGAAATCGCTGCCGCCTGTTTTTATCATTAATCAAACAAAACAAGAAAATCCCTCACTGCTCTTGACTGAAGAATTTTTGTAGCTAAAGTGTTTTTCTTAGGGTGAAGATGCTTAAAGCACAGTTTTTTTCATATTTTTATTCTATTGTATTTACTTTTCTTTCCTTTGTAGGGTGGAAAATAACTGTATGTATACAGTTGACGTCAGAATTATTAGCCCTCCTGAATATTAGCAAACCTTTTCATGCCCAATTTCTGTTTAATGGAAAGAAGGTTTTTTTTCTGAATATAATAGTTTTGATATCTCATTTCTAATTACTGATTTATTTTATCTTTGCTATGATGACAGTACATAATATTTTACTAGATATTTTTCAAAATACAAGCATTCAGATTAAAGTGCAATTCAAAAACTTAACTAGAGTAATTAGGCAAGTCATTGTATAAAAGTAGTTTCTTCTGCAGACAATCAAAAAATATATTGCTTAAGGGGGCTAATAATATTGACCTTCAAATGGGTTTCAAAATATTTAAACCTGCTTTAATTCTAGCTAAAATAAAACAAATAAGCCTAGAAGAAAAAATATTATAGGAAATACTGATAAAATTCCTTGCTCTGTTAAACATCATTTGGGAATTTTTTTTTTTTTTTTAAATCTCAGGAGCGCTAAAAATTTTGACTTCAACTGATAATCTTTTTGAATAATCGTGATTACAATTATGACCAAAATAATCGTGATTATGATTTTTCCCAAAATCGAGCAGCCCTAGTTTGTTTGATTTTTTACATGTTTTTCACAACTATTTTATTTCGTTTCTTTAGGGCAACAGTATCTTCAGCAGAAAATAAACTTCTACATCAAAAGCTACTGGTCGAAAATATTTTAAATGTTTCTTAAAATAAAATATATAGTGTTCAATGGGTGGAAAAACATTTAAAAAGAACATTTAAAAAGAAGAGTAGTAATCACAATACCGTAAAACCGTGATTTTATCCAAGGTTATCATCAGAATCTTATACCAGCCCATGCCTAGCTTTAGATGAATTGAAATAGCTAAATTGGCCGTAGTGTATGTGTTTGAATGACTGTGTATGGATGTTTCCCAGTGCTGGATTGCGATTGGAAGGGTATCCGCTGCAAAAAATATATGCTGGATAAGTTGGCAGTTCATTCCGCTGCAAAAAATATATGCTGGATAAGTTGGCAGTTCATTCCGCTGTGGTGACACCTGATTAATAAAGGGACTAAGCCGAAGGGAAATGAATGAATGAGACTCTAATGGATCCTTTACACAAACTGTTTATGATGCATTCGACTGTCATCAGCATCTTAATTCCTTTAAAGTTTTTAATATTTTGTACATTTATATGTATGCATTATATCATCTTTAATTACAAAAAAAAAAAATGCTCATGCAAAGCATTCCTAATGCGGCATCTCTGGGCAGGACAGTAAATCTGACATTGTTCTGGCCATTATTAGTCTTACACATTTTTTTCCTTTTTCTGAAAGTCTTGATAACACTACGGTTGAGTTTTTCGTTTTGTTGTTTGAGCAAACAGGATTGCAAAAAAAATATTTGTTGTTCTCTCCCATTCACTGCGCTCTAAGTTCACCCAACTGTGACAACTTCTGCTACTGAGAAACCTGGAAATGTGAGGGTCCATTATAATAAGAGTGCATTTCTACAGTTTTGAGCAATTATTCTGTGAAAATAAAAAATAAAAATGTGAGAGCTTTTTGCTAATAAATGATTTGCAAACAAACCACAAGTGGCCTGACCGTTCCACGGACATCATGAAAAGTGCTGTCATAATATTGTTGGTGTGGCCTGCCCTGGATCCACATGCCTGTAGTTTTTTGCCACAACTTGGCTGATCTTTCATTTATAATAACCAAAGATTGACAGAAAAATTCAGCAAAGCAATAGTGCTAAATAAAAAATGTTGATAAACTTTCATGAGGCAATCCATCTCAATTATTCTGATGAAAGCGGAGCGAGCGCTCTCATAGAAAAGATTTCAAAACACGCGTGCACAAAACAGACATTTCCGCGTTATAACTGAGAGCGATCATTAAATATGCCCCTAAATAATTACAGAGAACATCTCTCTTCAAAGTAAACTTAAAAAGCCATACATTCAGCTATCCAAGACGCAAAATTAATTGATTCTCATCCATGTCTGAGAGCAACGTTTATCCAAAACAGAGCAAATCAGACGCTCTTCATGAGAACAACGTCCTGTTTCTGTGTGCATGCCTGATTCCCTTTATATGTAGCTGAAAACACCTCTGTGAAGGAGGCTGAACCATCTGGATGAAATCAAAACCATGCATTCAGACCTACTCGCTGCCTCTTAGACACACCAATAAACTCAGGGAACCCAGAGAAGCGCTCAAGAAATGTTGGGGAAAACAGGAGATGGAGACCCAGATCACAATCTGCTTCCATTAATTTCCACTCCAAAAAAAAAAACACAACACGCAATTTCTTGTGGCATTTCAGACCATTTGCCCAATTGGATCACATTTTATAAACCTGAGAACTTGCGTTGTGGAAATCAAAACTAATCAAAATCAAGAATGCTGCAATAAACTTGACATTATTGGTTCATAGAGCTCGCCTACTGAGGTTTCTTCTAGCAAATTTGACAGTGAATTCTGGACGTCTAAACTTGATTTGAGCTTCCTAAACCAGAGTTGACAACAAATCAAGATTCTTAAGAGGATTAATCGCACCTTTGTTTGACTGGTGCAGACAAAACAAAGCCTGTGTGGTCACAACACCTCGTGTTTAAATACAACACGTGAAACGGTAACCTGCAGTGCTAATGCGGTGCCCGTGGCACCTACACTCGAGGAGACGTCTACATCCTTCATTCACACACAACATGAATGATGGAAATACATGAACTTTATGTTCATTATTTTGAGGCAAAATGGAAATTTCAGGATGATAACTGGAAAAACAACGCTGCCCAAACTTCTGGGAATCTTTTCATACAAAACCTACAACTTAACACTGAAACAAGTAGTTTCAAAGTGGTCAACAACATCTAAATGATCAAATATCTCCAAGAATTTTCCATAAAGCTCACCAAACACACCAAACTGTACCTAAAAAGAAGGTTTTGTAAGCAACTTCATAAGATAATCACACTATAAATACAATATAATACAGAATGGAATGATAAACAATACACAAGGGATGATCAGTTTTGAGCAAGTCTTGTAACCAACTTGACAAAAAGATGCTCATCTTCTGTGAAGCGTCTCACGCCAAAATAGCACTAAAATGACTGATAAACTACATGAATGATGAAACAACTACATCCAGCTCAGAAAACCCTCACAAAGTACACATTCACCCAAAATGTCCATATAAAAAACAATCTTGTAAGCAACTTGACAAAGATGCTGATCTCCTATTCACTATTATTTTACAGCAAATGTGTTATATCCTCACACCAGCTGACACTAAAGTCCCATTATAGTCTCCAAGTCTGACACAGCAGCCTATGACCCGCACATGACAGATTTATGAATATTACAGGTCACTTTTATTACATTTATGGTTTTGTAAGGTTGTTTCTATGGCGACAGATTGTACACAACGGTGGAAAGATCACATGGTGATGTACTACCATAAAATATTACACAGCGAAGTGTGGAAAAGTCACCATAACTTGAAGTAGCACAAGTTCTGAAGACACAAAACATTATTAAAACTGCTGTTAACCGACAACCGCGCGTCTCTGTAAACAACAATGAACAAAATTAGCAGAACTGCTAAAATAGCAACATATCAGTTGGCTTTAACACCCAAAACGTGCAAAAACACACTCGATAAAAGTAAATACCCTTAAATACAACAGCGACCGGCTACCAAGCCTCAAAACTTAAACACACACATCTTTCCGACAACATAGCTGCTAAACATTTGCACAGTATATGGTGTTGTTAATGCATACGATGCACAATACAAGAGATGCGAGCATGCAACATCCCTCGTATCGGATGCATTGGGCAGTTCACGTGCGCGCACAAACTTAAATAAAATCGAAATGCACGCAAAGCTAACAGCTATTAAAGTGCTGGTAAAGTTCAGCAGATCCGGAGACGATCGCTTCAGATTGCGAGTTCACACTAAATACACCTTCAAACAATAGTACGCACAGTTTTAAGAAAGTTCCGAGTCCGCAATAAGCAAAGCGAGACTCTTTAAAGCGCGCGCGCGCGGATTCACTTACTTTTCTCTCGCTTGACTATCAGAAGGGACGACAGCTCCTTTACCTTTGGCGTACATGCTGGATTCTGTTTTAAGACTTTTACCCCACTCAACACCTGTCAAAGAAAGCAGCCAGGAAAACGTTGTATCTCCATAGCTACCCCCTTTAGTGTTTTCCCTCCCCCCTCCTCCTCCTCCTCCTCTCTCTCTCTCCCTCTTTTTTTTCTTTTTTCCTTTTTTTTTTACATCTCCAACATTGGCCACAAATCAGGCACAGTTTCTATTGGGGGGACTTGAAACAGGTCGCTGGTGATTTTTTTCCTCCTCTCGCGCTGTTCCAGGAATGCGCTCTGCCTCCCGCCGCGCCCGGAGAGGTGGGGGCCTCTTAAAGGGGAACGCGCACTCTTTCCCGTGTTTACTAGGCTCGGGGACTGGAGATGGAAAAGACGCTAACATTGCCTCGGGCCTTCGTGTGTGACTTTGAGGTTTTGAAAGGAAGAATTTAGGCTTGTGTTTTAAGAGGTTTGATTCTGAGGTTACATTATTTGTATGTCCAGCAGCCATTTTGAATGTTTGTTGGACAATTTGAGATATGCAATCCAGTTTTAACAACTAAAGAGGAGTAACATTCTTTGAAACCTGATATCCAGTTTGTGTTTGAGTCTAGATTGTGTTTGAAGGTGATGTAAATAGCTACTAGCATTTAATGTCCACATGAAGTAATAAAATTGTATGTTTTTTGGGCTATCGCTAGCTTTCCATCCAAAAACGCGTCATTAAAGCAAGGCAGTAAATTAAATTTATGCGTAAAACTGAAATATCACATAAAAGATCCGCAAATAAATAAGTCAAAGAGAACAAAATCATCACTTCCTGATTATCTGGCTACAAATAGCAATAGTAAAAATGGAATTTGCTGCGGTAGGAGAGGCTGCGTGAATCTTCTTTTCATTTAATAAATGACTTGCACCTCAGAAGACAAATGTCAACATGCAATGAACGATTGGTGGCGTTTGAAGGCATAAGACGTGGAGCACAGATGCTCTTAACAGTTCTGGAGGTAATTAATAATATAATAACACTAATACTGAAACAGTTACAGCATTTTAGAATGACCAAAAACAACATTTCAGATGTTTCACAGTGTGCTTAACCTACTGGTTAGTCCATTCACGCACATTTTAATCATCACATTATAACAAAATCACATGACCTTTTTTAATGCGCATACTGGAATTTGTTTGGTAAAAGTCTTTTCATCGTGGTATTTGCACATCTTTTCTTATCAAATAAAAAGTTTATCCTACTCAGTTATGCGCATACGTTTTTTGATGGCATTTCCATAAACCGATTTTTTTTTAATGCACGTATCCAAAACGTGCATAAAAATAGGTGGATAGAAATGTAGCTAGTATGTTATAGCTCAAAATATCTTTACTTCCACCAATATGGAAAAAGACTTTTAAGGGACATTCATGGCTCATCCACACCAGGACAATTTTCACTCACACCTGCTGTCAATGTTTTTCAAAACACTTTTTTGCTACTTTTATTTGTTTTTTATTTTTAAACTTATTTGATTTTTACAATCGATGAGCAGTGGATGTGCAAAATTACTCCCTGGCATTAGATGGCGTTAAATGAAAAACAGAAATGCCCAGGTACACAAGGTGGCCTGCGCAACTTTACCAGGTGGTCAAAATTGTGCAAATGAAACAAAAACTCAGGAAAAACATGCATTATAATTTACTTTTTTTTTTTTTTTTACATATTGCAAATTTTAAATTGAAAGTATAACCTATAAATGCACTTAGCTTATCATCTAGTATATTAAGTGTCTGCATATGCATTGCTTTATAGATTTTGAAGGTTTTTATATTGTTTGTATTGATTGATTGACTGATTGGTCAGTTGCAACATTCCAAGGCATTTCATCCCAAGATAATAACTGCCAATTAATGCGATCTAAATGAAGCTGCGTGATTCATGTCGATTTTATGGTATTAAACAGATTGTCCTCAAGTGGAGAATCACTACATTTTCAAATTGTTTTAAAAAATAATGACATTGCGAAAGTTACTGAAGTCTTGTTATGTTGCCAATTTGATAAATGCTCTGAAACAACTTATTCGAAACAAAAGATTCGTAAAGGTTTCAAAGCTTCATGAAGTGTGTTTAGAAAACAACCATCACTAATATGAATAGAAACCGTGTTTACGCACTTCTTAAAACCATTTACACAGTAACAATCTTTGTGTTCAGACACCAGTGAAACAACAGCTCCACGTCCATCTTGCCGCAATGTATTGCCAGTTTTTGCTTTCACAAAGCCACTAGAGGCAACTGTACATTTTTGACAATCTTAATTGCATTACTGGGCCCCACGTTCTCAAATGTGTCACATCCTTCTTGCAAATCCACCAGAGGCTACTCTGCACATTTCTGCAAATCTCAGTGTTTTACTGTTGGTTTGTTATGTATTTATCAGCTTGCTGACGGCTGATCCACCCACTTTCTTTTCTAAACCCAACCAATAGTGTTTTCAAAATCAAACTAGAAATCAAAAATCCATTTATTTTACCTGGTTTTAGGAACCATCCTTCACCGGACTCGAATCCTGGTCCACTCTATGTCTGAAGTTTACCACTGTATGAGGTGAGCAACCAAGCAAACTGGTAATGTTGGAAAAGCCCATCATATGGAGTTAAGCGATCAGCATTGGCGCACTAAGGAACAGAAGTTGTTGCTGCCATCCCACCTCCCCTTTTTGTTAGTTTAACTCACAAAATTCATCCAGACGCAGCCCCAAGCACATTTTTGCAATGAACCTGTGTTACACAGAGTATACAGGAAAAAGTAAAGTTATACTTTGCACTCAGTGGGTAAAATATTAGGAACTAAAGAGAAAAGACTATGTATGGTCTAAGAAATAAGCTCTGGGACTCATAATAAAGCTTTATGGTTATAGACATATGGAAAGAGTCAAAAAGAGAGTCTGTTTGCATGCTAGTACCTCCTGCATATTGTACATTTTAAGAGCATACATAGGATTTTGTGGCCAACAAAGCCGGTGAATCATTTTCAATAAAATGCCAATAAGCAAATCAGAGTGAAATGCATCATCTGAAAGTTATGCCTCTCTGTTTTATCATCTTTATAAAGTCTCATTTGCTGAAGGAGCATAATTGAGGTAATGACATCAGAGGCTGAACCAAGGCATAAAGCATTGTTTTATGCTTCTTTAGTTACCAGCGTTTGGTGTGCATGATGTTTCAGCATTCTGAAATATAAGCATTTAAATTGTGACACTGAATTAGAATCGATGCATCTAAAGGCTTGATTTCCATTAGACCGATTATCTCACGACAAAGTCTGCTTTAGGCATTCAAGTCATTCAGTGATTTGATGATTCCCCAGAGATTTCCCAATTCAATCATAATGAAAAATTTTGGGGTTTTAGTATGGATAGGCTAACTAAAGTTTAATATATAAGCTAGTGTGCTCCAAAACAGTGAGGTTATTTATAGATTAAAACATATTCATTTAAAAATCTTTTACTTCTGTCATTATGAATCAATGATTTTGATGACATCACTTTCGAAAGTCTCCAAATCCTCATCACTATAAGATGCTTTCTTAACCACTGTTTTCTGGCATTGGGATAGAATAAATTTTCTAATGTTGAAATTTTGCAACTCATTAACTGAAAACACGTGACTTTGGTCATTCGATATTAATCAAACAAATTATTAGAAATGTTTTCAGTGATTAGTTGTTTAGAAATGATCCTTATCTACTTTCAAATAAATTGATTCACTAGATCTAATTGTGCACAGATCAGATTTTGTGTTTGCGAGCACAGAACATATTTACTTATTTTGAGGTAAACTCTGCAAAACAATCGTGATGGTGGCATTTGGATGGCTGTTAAACTGAAATGGTTTAAGACTAATGATTCTCAAAGCTTTTGAAGTTGAAATAATTGTTTCGAAATCATCCAAACCTAGTATTAAACAATTCACATCCCTATAATAAAACAATTCATAGACGACATTGGAAAATTCGCTGACGACATTACATTTAAAATTATGATTAAGTTTATATGCTTCAAATAACTTTTGTAAGTCGAATTATTTGCAAAGCTTTTGAAAATAAGTGTTTTGAAACCATCCATCGATAGCTTCAAACAAATCCACATCACTACGATAAAACAATTCATGGACTACATTGGCTACATAAGGCCAAGAATCTTGGTGTGACTCTAGAGTCAGATCTAAGTTTCAATAGTCAAGTCAAAGAAGTCAGTAAATCAGCATACTAAAGCATTGCAAGAATTAGATCCTTTGTTTCCAGTGAGGACTTAGAGAAAGTTGTTCATGCTTTCATCAGCAGCAGGGTGGATTACTGTAACGGCCTCCTCACTGGCCTTCTCTTTTTGAATCTTTTATAACCTGTTTTAACACCTTTTAATCTGTTTTTAATCATTTCTATTGTTTTTTTTCTCATACTTGTCTTTTTTATTCTTATTTATGTAAAGCACTTTAAATTGCCACTGTGTATGAAATGTGCTATATAAATAAACTTGCCTTGCCTTACATTGTAAAAGTCGCTAACAATAGATTCTAAATGTAAAATGATGAAAAAGTTAATGTTCTTAAAATAACCTATTTAAGACAAATGATTCGCAATGTTTTTGAAAATAAGAATCCATCGCTAGGTTCAAATAAATCCACATCACTGATTAAATGCTTCACAGACCACATCGGAAAAGTTGCTAACAATAAGCGCTAAATTTACAATTCCGATTAAGTTTATGTGCTTCAAATAACCCATTTAGGTTAAATGATTCACAAAGTTTTGAAAATAATTTTTTCGAAACCATCCATTTCTAGTTTCAAACCAATCTATGTCACTGATTAAACGCTTTATTGACCTGAATCTTTAAGACTCTTTAAAAAAAAAAAAAGTGTTTGGAAATCATTCATTGCTAGTTTCAAACAAATCCACATAACTATGATAAAAAAAAAATCATGAACGACATAAGAAAAGTTATTAACAGTAGACAAAAAGTAAAAATAAAAAAAGTTAACCTGCTTTAAATAACCTGGTTAAGACAAA